GTGTGTATATATATATATATATATATATCCGTGTTAGTGTAAATTACTTGTATCTGATGATGACAAAACCTTGTCGAAACGTTGTACATTTGCTGTTATGTTAAACTTATTAAAGTTTTTCTTCATTACCCATTCAAGCCATCACCAACCATTACATTGTAGTATATTGTATTCTTTGTCTTCGATTTCCACTTCTATGTGTGTTGACAATGAATGTAGTAATTTACTGTAATGTCACATTATTAAAGTTTTGGATTTTATTTGCAAGCCTCGAATTTGTCACTGGGAGGAATTTAACACATCTTAAACGTAAATATTTTATATGTAATGTGTCTTTTGAAACGTATTTAAATATTATGCTTAAAGTACCTGTCAACTTGTATAATTAATTATCATTCTGAGACATCAAAAGAAACTATAGTTCGAAATTTCAAATATTAGTAAAGTGCAAAATATTTTACTAGCATGAGAAGCACAACTTTAGTGGCTTTATATCACAGTATTGAGATATTTTTATTAACTCCATTTTAAACATTTCTGACTAGATTAATTCTCACTAAGGTTATTTTGAGCCATGCATAGCAAGGTGTTTAATGTGCTTAGCTACATACACAATTGTTCAAGATTCGAAACGTGATGCCGCTGAACATAACACGCACTTCCTTCTGTGAGTGCGTTTTATAAGTCCATTAATTCCGTTATTCAGCTCAAACAGTCACCAGAAAAAGCCCTTGTGACGGCGGGTTCTACTAACTGTAGACCTTCCCCCTGGTCAGTTGTTCAAAATTAAGAACGGCTCTGTACCTGAATCCGAGGGGCTTCTGATCTAGCTGCTTACTCCATGTACACATAAAGTGCCCTTCAGATTAAAACCTCCAAATGAAAGTTTTGCTTTTTCTCGATAATGCTTAAAAATACTACTCAAATAAATAGTAATAAATAACACTGTGGCACGCTTATTGTGTTGTGGGGTTAAAAAAAGAGGTCCCATAAAGCGGTATTTCACTGTTAACAATATAAATTCAGCTAACTTTGTTTCTTAAATATGTATTTTCTTTAAGGCTTCAATAATGAAACATGCTTTATGATCCTATGTGTTCTAGTACTTTAGATTTTATTTATATAGTATATAATTAGTACACAAAACTTGCACGGCTTAAAATTCATTACGTGTGGTGACGAAAATACAATATAATTTTCTTAAGCCGCTCACAAGTACAAAATAGAAAAGATGGGCAAGTATGTGCTTTTAAGTTCTATGTATTTTTGCTTTAGTTGAAATTAGTAGTAGAAAACTAGATACATCGATATTACAACTTTAGAATCGAAATTTTACATGAAATGAAAAAAAATATATATGCTAAAGTATTTTGTCACAAATACAAACAAGTTATATGAACGAAACCTTTTGTAGTATCAAATTTTTATTTTGTTTTCTATCCTTCAACTTGACTCATCCTGGGATTGTTTTCGTTTACGGTGGTGTAGGGCCTGTGTGGGCAGCCCATTGGTCAATGGCCACGTGTGATCATTTCGCAAAAATATGTGGCCAACTCGTAGAATCGTCGATAGTGTGTTTTTTAGCTGGTCAGAGAAAAAGAATGCCAAACCTTTCATTGAAATTTCAAGCATTTGTAATTTTGAAAAAGTATTTTTTGCACTTTTGCGTTCTGTTTATAATTGACCTTGGCTGTAATTAGAATCCTGAAATAAATTTATTTGGCGAACATTTTCTGTTTTATTAATAATGTGGCCATTTCTGTGATCGACTGACCACATCCATGGCCAAGAAAAAAATTTCGTTGCCTACCCATGGTGTAGGGGGCATACACTGGGTGATCCATAAGTCCATTGACAAGCAAATAACAGAGAAGTGAAGAGACACATGAAAATAATTGATTTGTACATTTTAATTTAAGGAGGGCCCTACAAATAAAATTTTAATTTTGTAGAAAACTGTAAGATGTTTTTTCTTTGTTGTTGTTTTTTGTATGTTTTCTTTTTACGACATCAAATTATATTTATAAATCGACTGAGCATTTTATCCAAACAGGTTTAAAAGTCTGGTATATGTTCCATTTGAGTTAAATATGAATTAGTTTATCATAATTCACTACACCGTTATTTGGCACTGTAGTGGATTTCTATGCAAGTCTAATTTTTAATAAAATTCCAGTTCTAAATAAATATTTAGTGAATAGAAGCAGGTAATCACCATTCATTTATGATATTTTAGCCTATATTTACAGCAGGGTAATCCAATAAAAAATTATTTAAAACTTGTACAGTTGACTTTAGGAGGAAATAAATATTTTCGATACGTAATGTTAAAAAAAAAAAAAGAGTAAAGGAAGTCATAGTTGACCAAAGAATGTAAAGTTTGATTGGAATAAAATTACCTTGATGTCTCAAATAAATTACAGGAAATTTTATTAATCATTTTGAATATGCCAGAAAAATTATAATTTTGCATAGGAAATTTTATGGACTACTGTGGTACAACAAAGCAACTGAGAGGGAGATTGCCGTACCAGAATGACGATCACTTACTCCCTGGAAGTCTCCAATGCTAGACTCTGTGGTTTTACCAACTTACTGTTAAGATGGAAAGGGAGCATTTATAAATACCTGTGGAGAGAAGTGATACTTTTCTTAATTTGTTATTATTCTCTAAGTGTACTCTATCGATACTTACTGGCTCAGGCAGAAAAAAGGTAAAAGTATAATAATTATTCACTCTTTAATCGTAAGATTCCAGTTTTGACTATTACCAGTTTGAGTAAATTAAAAGTTTTCTGTAATTACATCTTTTCTTTTTTTTTCGTTATTGTGTTAAAGAATTACGGTTTTCATATTGAAATAGCATGATTACGTATATGTGTTTGATTTATTGAAAGATTAACGGCAATATTAGTTGATGCTGTATATTTAACTCGTAATTCCGATTGTGAACCATTGCAGGTTACGCAGATCCTAGATAATGGTCAAGCTTAGTACTGTTACATTTAAAGTAACTGCAATACAACTAGTTTTTCGTGGGTACTAAATATGATAGCAGTAGATTTTTTGTTAGATCTCTTTCTTTTGAAAACAGTGCAAAGCAAAGAACCAAAAATATATACAGAATCTCAAAACAGATTAATTCGCCATAACGAACAAGTCATAACAAATTAATAAATGAACTAGATGGAGACTTGTGCTTTGTATACTAAATATTTTTTTATAGTATTTGATATTTGAATGCACAAAATTTTAAAATTTTAAGGCAGTGCTGTGCAATTAGAGTAATCAAAACAGTTACGTGACCTGACTAGACTATTCGCGTAGGAGGTTAAGTACGTAAAGTTCTGAACGAATCTGATGGCTGTGCGGGCGTTTCAGTGACTGCGAGATTAAACATATTCCACAACACGTGATACCCACCAAACACATCTAGTACGAAAGACACTTTGAGTTGAATGGTATGATTAAAATGACAAACCGATCAGTTTATTTAGTAAAATAGACCATATTTAGTGACGCTTTCAAAACCTGGCTATCAGGAACAAGTATTAAAATTCAACATGGTGACGGTACCTATATATTAAGTGGCTATTAACAAATGAAGAAATTCATACACAAAACTTTAACATGTAAACAATGCTGTCTGAGATGGAGCTCTGAGAGATGACAGGCCCATTCTCCCAATACCTTTCACTTTGCAATGTATAGTATTATCTACACTCACTCCTGTTACGCATACGGTGACGACGTCTGTACTTCCTTACTACGACTCTCATTTTTGCATAGTTTTTAAGTTTAAAAAGCTTCTCGTGCATACATGCATGCACACACGTTGCGCTTTAAATCATATAGGTAGTAATTCACTCATGCAGCTGAACAATCGCTAATGTAGAATATGTTTGATAAAAGAGCTCTGCCTGTTCTTTAGGTTTATTTCATATGAATGAGACTTTAAGCATAAAGGCTTAAGTTCTAGTTAAAACTATACTGTAATGCAATAAGGATGTGATTGTCATTAGAAATTGGCAAAAGCTAATGCATGAATGTATACGGCGTGTGGTAAAAACGAAAAAACAAACAGTTAGTTCATTAGTTAAATGTAAACTTATATAATAAGAATTTTCAGAGAAATAAGATTTTAAGTAAAAAGCAAATCTTTCGTAATGTAAGTCCAAGTTAATGAATACCATAGTTATATTTTCCTGATTGCGATTTGAAGTAGAAAAAGTAAACCTATTTTTTATCTTGTGTGTATAAATAAAAAAACATTAAGTGAAGTATTATATAAAGTGTGGAGGTTTACTCAACACGAATTATTTTTATTCGAAAATAATCCTTGTGTTTCCTCACGCTTTATGAAATTAAATACTTGTTCTAATTTTATATTTTTATAAACCATTGTTTTATTCTGATTTCTCGAAGTTTGATTAATCAATCAGAATTTTAGGATATTTATAACTTACTGATCTGTCACAACTGAATCCTCTATGTTGCAAAAACGTCATATTTGTAAGTTATATTGACCAACAAAAAGTAAGTGAAGAAAACAATAAAATAACATATGAACCATACCAATTGTGCATCTTAAAATGGTTTACTGATTTTGGATTTAGCTTATTTTGTAGTGTTCGTTAGTATTCGATGAAGAGATTAGATGTTTGTTTTTTACTGGTTTATGTAATATCCGTGTCTAACATCTGTCGGTTTAAAATGAGCTATATTGGCATTTAATTGATTATATAAATCACTCTTGAATAGATATCTTTCATGGAAGTCTTCACCAGGTGGAAATTAAAACAACCCTGTTGCGAATTTGATAAAAAGATGGACAGTAAAAAAGCGTTTTTGATTTTAGTAGGGAAATCTTGTACTCATTTTAACTTTAGTGATTAGTTGGTTTTTTGCATAAAGGTGTATTTTTTGTAAATTTTTGAAGATTATGAAATTAGCTTAAATTAGTAAAACTGTGCCATGTGTACGAAATTTCCAAGTTTTAATGAATTACCAAAGAAATAAAATGCTATCCTATTTTTGGGGATACTTATTCATTTTTTTTATAAAGTAGCGTAATGCATTTATACACAATATTTTGTTTTTTAATGACATTTGAAGCCATATGAAGTAAGCCTTTATGATAATGTCAAAATTTTGCAATTCAAGTGTATGTTTATTATTTTTTTGCTGTCATTTGTAAAAGATAAGCCGACAGATAACGTATAATTTATTGGACTAAATTGTTAGGCCGAGCAATAAGTTTCATTATACTGTGGGCTAGGCCTAACGTTACAAACTTGTCGATATCGTCAGAGCAATCTGCCTAAAGAAACATTATTAAAGTTTAATGAAGACTTCCAACCACGACTACAAATAAGAACAGGAAAATTAAATTCATTAGCAGTTAAAATTTTGATATGTTGAGCTGTTTCACATCGTCATTGGGCTACGCCAAATACTGGAATAGGATTAACTTGTGGGTTGATTTTTTTTCCTTCTAGTCTTGATCTAAGTATGTAGCTTGATATGATCGAAAGTTAATTATTACAAGTTAAAACTTCCATTTGTTTGGCTACTTTAGTAAGAGTTCGATCTCGCGTTTAAGATTTTATTAGACTTCAGCTTTGCTGGTCATGAATAATATAAAGCTAACACCACCCTATGTAAACAACGTGACAACAATGTGTGTAGGTAGTGAATAATTGAACCGCAGTCAGGAAGTATTGTTGAAGTTAACGTTCCTTGTTAAAACGTTTGTAAAAGAGCGACTGTTGAAAATAAGTGTATCCGTAAAGTTAGATTCAGAAAGAATAAACCAGTTTTATTAAGTAAGGACTTGTGTCGCTAAAGTTTCGTCGGAACGAAGTTACAGAAAATCAATTAACAAACGGAGACGTAACAAACTGGTGTCAGAAGTGGAACGAAAAAAAAAAATGGAAACGAGATGCGGAAAATCAAACTACAGCTTAGCAGACCTTCTTGTTTCTTTTCTCGTTCATTTTCTCGTTCTTCTTGTTTCTTTTGCTGCTCTTGTATTGCTGCCATCAAAGAGACAACAGCAGCTGCAAGAAAACCTGCAACAGTGGCAGCTCGAACAACAAAATAAACAAGAAGAGAGATTACAGCAGTTGTTAGAGGAAAAAGAAAAGAAACAAGAAGAGAGATTACAGCAATTGTTGGAGGAAAAAGAAAAGAAACAAAAAGAACGAGAAATTAAACAAGAAAAGAAATTAAAGCAGTTGTTAGATGAAAAAGAAAAGAAACAAGAAGAACGAAAAAATAAACAAGAAAAGAAATTAAAGCAGTTGTTAGATGAAAAAGAAAAGAAACAAGAAGAACGAAAAAA